ACAAAGTGCTCCCCCTGCCTTTGCTGGGGAGCTGGAAAAAGCACTTGATTTGGTAGAGCCAAAGGCCACCTTCAGGACTCTTCTCCAAGCTGTCCCCCAAGCAGGTGCCAAAATCATACAAGATTTTGTGGAAAAATGTAACAACAGAAAATACAAACTGTTCAATTACCTCGTGGTGATTAATATCAAACAGAGGGACATATGCTTACTAAAGGATTTTCCACTCTCATAGAGGTTGTCCATCACAGACCTCAAATGAAGAGGGAAGTGGTCCAGATGGGCTTGATTATAGGTGATACTGTTAGAATTGCATCCATCCCTGAAACACTGCGGAACCTCCTAAATGAGATCCATAACCACTCACCTGAGTTTGGTCTAATTGTCCACAAGGGAAAATCCAAGTAGATAATGAATGGGTGTCATCCAGATGAAAATATACATTTGGATAGACAACCCAGACAGTAAGCCTACCAGTGCACAGATATTGACAGACATTGCTTCTCTCTACTCTGGTCAGAGTATCTGGAGTGCACAATGCCATTATGGGTGCTATGAATAGTGATACACTGGGCAGTATTCACAAGATGGTGACTGATGTGCTCAAGGATATTAGGGCCATGTTATACAATGATCAGTTGAAGGAATTGGGGATGTTGAGTATGAAGAAGAGAAGAGAAGAGAAGAGAAGAAAGGTTTGGTGGAGGGATATGAGAGCCAATTAAATATTTGAAGGCCTGTCATTGGAAGAGGCATTAGCCTTGTTCTGTCTGGCTCCAGAGGGCAGAACCAGGGCTGATGGGGAGGTGTTGGAAAGAGGCAGATCAAAGATTAACATCAGGAGGCACTTCCTAAGCATTTGTTCTTTCTATAAGTGGGATGGGCAGCCATGAGAGCTGCTGAGTTTCTCTTCTTTGGCATCCTTTAGAGGTGGGATGAGGCCCACTCTAGATGTGGCCAAGAGCTACTTCTTGGTTCCAGTTTGCCTCGGGGTCCCTTCCAAACCTTTTGTGCACCTGCCTTTGATTCCCAAACTTGTGCTCCTTCTACAAAAGCAGATCACCTCACTTCTGACTCCTGTTAGTGTTTCACTAACCATCCAAACCTGTTTGGGAAAAGGCAGGCATGAGATTTCATACACTAGTGCAATTTTGTCAAAACAGATAATGGGGAGTCAAGCCTGTCCAGCCACCACAATCCTGCAAACCAATCAACACTTCCCTGCTACTTTCCCCTGACACTATCTTTGATGCAGGAGGGAAAGTGAAGTTAGACATTTCATAGTTATTAGCTGCATGAATGCATTCTAGGAAAATGGTCCTGCTCTGTAGGGTGCTTAGATTTGATTAAACCAAAAACACATTTTGCTTTCAGGTGAGCATACAGTCAAAGTCCTTTTCCTTCTCCTAATCTTTCCCTGTTTTATCAGACTCTATGGCCTTTCTCTTCTACTATATTAGAGCCTCTCTGAGGGCAGAGTGTCTGGCTAGACTTGGGATTAGCCTGGAGAAATCACTGGTGGCAGTTCCAGTGAGACTGATTTTCTAACAGAGAAATTCCAAAGTGAAATAGTCTGCCTTAGGATGTCCTTAGGTAGAGGAAGGCTGGCTCCTTGGCAGAATATTGTAGACACAGGGATTCTACCCAGGTCTGGGTTAGAATAGGTAACTGAACACATTATGTTTGGAATCACAGGACTTGGGTTCAAATTGCAGTTATGCTCATTACTGCTTGTATGTCCTTGGGAAAGTCACTTTATCCTCACACTTTCCTCCTCTGTAAAGTGAGGAGATTGGATTCAGTGGCCTCTAAGATCCTGTCCAGCTCTAAATTTCATTCCTTTTCAAGTCTCTCATGGCCCCTTCAAAAGCCCCTTCCCTCACCTTTTCACCCCAAATCTTGCCTAATTTCCTGAAAAAATGAAGTCTTTTTCCAATATCTCTCTTATCCTCTCCTCATATCACATCACCAAGATGTCTTCTTCAACTATATCATCCTTCAAACTTGTCTCACAAGAAGTAGTAGTCCTCCTCCTTGATAAGGACAAGCCCTCTTTGTGTCCAAGTGACCTCATTCCATCTCATCTCCTTTAGCAGATTCTCTCCTCTAACACCTCCACTTTTTCCCAGTCTATTGGCTGCTTCCCTGCTTAAAAAAGCTGTCCATCCTTAATAAAGACTCACACAATCCTATCAAATCTGCTAGCTATAATTCTATTTCTCTTTTCCTTGTGTCAGCTAAATTTCTTGAGAAGGTCATCTGTACTCAGTGTCTCTACTTCCTCTCCTCCCTCCCTCTCTCTCTCTCTCTCTCTCTCTCTCTCTCTCTCTCTGTCTCTTAATTGGCCAAGGTCACATAGCTAGTAAGCATTTGAAGCTGGATTTTAATTCAGGTCCTCCTGAGTCCATGCCACCTAGCTGCCCTTCTTATTCTCTTCTCTCTATAGTCTGGCTTCTGACCTCATCATCCGCCAAACCTGCTCTCTCCAAACTCATCAATGATCTTTTAATTGTCTAATCCAATGCCTTTTTTCAATTCTCATCTTTCTTGACCTCTCTGCAGCTTTGGGCACTGTCCATCACCCTATTCTCCTGAATATTCTTTCCTCTCTTGATTTTTAAGACTGCTCTCTCTTGGTTCTCCTACTGCCTGTATAATTGCTTTCTTAGTTTACTTTGCAGGATCTTCATCCAAGTTATGCCCAGTAATGACGAGTGCCCCCCAGCTGTGTCCTGGGCTGAGTTCTCTTACCACTCTGTTATTTCACTTGATGATCTCATCACCTCTCAGGGATTCAATGATCATCTCTATGATCATGATTCTCAGATCCACTTAATCAGCCATAACCTCTCTCAAGCTATAGTGTCACATCTCCAACTGCCTTTCAGACATTTCAGACTGGGTGTCCTGTCAACATCTCAAACTCAACATTCCCCCAACTGAACTCATTATCTTTCCCCCAAACCCTCCCTTCTTTTCCACTCTCCTATTGGGAGGAGGGCACTGCTGTCCTTCCAGTCAGCCAGACTCACAACTGTGGCATCCTCCCTGACTTCTCACTTTCTCTCAACCCAACTCCCACATTCAATTCATTGCCAAGTCCTGGCAATTTTACCTTTATAACACAACTGCAATGTGCCCTCTTCTCTCCTCTGATCCTGCCACCACACTGGTGCAGGCCCTGGTAACTTTCTCCATAGACTACTGAAATAGCCTGCTGATGGGTCTGCCTGACACAGATATCTCCTCATTCCAGACCATCTTTCATTAAGCTATCAAAGAGACATTTAAAAAAATCTTTTTCAGAGAGACATTTCTGAAGCACAAGTTCCACCATGTAACCCCAAACTCTAACCAGTCAACTCTAGCGGCTCACCATCACCCCCAGGATTTCATATAAATATCTTTTATTTGGTGTTCAATGCTCTTCATAACCTGGCCCTTCCTAATCTCTCCAGTCTTCTTCCAACTTACTTCTCCCCATATTGTCTATGGTCCAGTGTCATTGGCTTCGTTGCTGTTCTTTTTCAATTCAGTTCCATTCCTTTCATAAGATACTCCATCTTCTGACTCTGCCCATGTCTGGAATCCTCTCCCTTCTCGTCTCTGCCTCCTGTTCTCCCCCTATTCCTTTAAGACTCAGCTTAAATTCCCTTTTTTGGGATTTGGCTAAATAACAAACTGATCATTTGCACCCTCAATCCTTCAGTGCCTTCTCTGGGATTATTGCCATTTCTGCTGTATGTATCATGTATGTGAATAATTGTTTGCACAATAACTCACCCCACCCATTTTACTGTGACTCCTTGAAAGCAGGGACCCTGATGTTTTAGCACTTAGCACAGTGCCTAACACCTACTAAGCATTTAATCAATGCTCATTAATTGATTGATTTATGATGATTTGTGACCTTTGAGGGCCCTTACAACTCTGAGATTCTAAAAAAAATCTATGATTTATATTTGCAAGAATGGCTAAGAATTGGAAATTGAGATGATGTTCATCAATTGAGGAATGGCTGAACAAGCTATGGTACATGATTATAATGGAATATTATTGTGTTATAAGAAATATGAGCAGGATGCTCTCAGAAAAACCTGGAAAGACATATATGAACTGATGAGAAGTGAAGTGAGAAGAACCAGAACAGTGTACATAGTCACAGCAATATTATATGATGAAAAACTGTGAATGACTTAGGTTCTTATCAGCAATACAATGATGCAAGACAGTCCCAAAGGACTCATGATGAAGAATGCTTTTCCTCTCCAGAGAAAGAACTGATAGATGAGTCTGAAAGCATTTTTTCTTTCTTTTCCTTCCTTCCTTTCTTTCTTCCTATCTTCCTTTCTTCCTATCTTCCTTTCTTCCTTCCTTCCTTCCTTCCTTCCTTCCTTCCTTCCTTCCTTCCTT